CTGGGAGGCGGTGGCCATCAAGTATGTGGCCAGGGAGAGTGTGAACAAGGCGTCGTCGGTGGAAAACCTCCAGACAGAGATGGAGATCCTGCAGGGCACCCGCTGCCCCACCTAGCGCAGCTGAAAGACTTCCAGGGGGCAAGGACGACCTCGATGGCATCGTGGGGTTCTGTGCTGGCCGCGACCAGTCTTGCTTCCTCCCGTCTGGAGCCTTCGTGCAGCAGGGAGCACAGACGAGGATCTTTCTCCGCATATGGAGCCACCAAGCACTCTGCCCAGCTCCTTGGAGAAGCCCCGGGCACGGGCAGCTCCGGTTTCGCCCAGCACACAGCCGTGTGGACGAGCGGCACATCCCACGGGGCTGCCCGCTCGACGTGGCCCGGAGATGGTGAGCGAGCGGGTCACGACGCCCACGTGGACTCTGGTCCCTGGGGTCATCCTCGAGAAGCTCTCTTCAGGCAGCCCCCCTCACCTCCAGGTCCTTCTCCGAGCTGGAGGGGCAGAGCCAGAGGAACCCGGTTCCGAGTTTCCCCTGCGCCCCCACTCTCCCGGGACTGCCGGGACCCCGGCCGCCGTGTATCCTTCGAGGGCGATCCCAGAGCTTTTTATGTGGATCCAAGCAGGACAAAGTCCTGAACAACTTCAATCTCTTGTCCATGTATCATGATGCTCTCTATTGGTCAAGTTGTGAGGGTTTGGGTTTTCTTTATATTAATTTGTAATCCATATTGAAGGCTGCAGGGAGAAAGAGGGGCTTTCTACTCCCATAGAGTTAGAGTTTTGAACACTCACAAGTTCTACCCTGCTCTAGGGGGCCACTGTGAGTGGAGCATCTACTCCGTGGCAATGAGTTTGGTTTGATTGAAGGCTGACATCCATGATCGTCATGTCATCCATGCTTTCAGCAAGCAAGGCTATGCCATCTGCTCATTGTAGGGTGTCACTCACCCTCCTCCAATCCTGATGTTTCCTTCCTCCTCTTACCGTGCAGTTTCTTTGATTCTTTGCTCAGCATACAGACTGAATAAGCACGGGAGACAAACAGAATACAGTGCTAACACACACACTTCCTGATTTTAAACTATGCAGCCTCCCCTTGTGCTCTTGGAACCATTGCCTCTCTGTCCGTGTTCAGGTTCTTCACGAGCACCGTGAAGAGGGCTAGGTTCCTCTTCTTCTCAAGCTCGGCATCATTTGCAATGATCGACCAAGTTGAATGCCTTTGCATACTCCATAGAACACAAGGAAACATCCTTTTGGTATTCTTTGATTTGTACCGACATCCATCCAACACAAGAAATTTTATCCCTTGTTCCGTGTCCTCTTCTGAAGCTGGCCTGTCCTTGTCACTGTACTGCTGCGACTACTGTTGACCGATCTTCAGCAAAAGTTTACATGCATGTGATATAAACCATAGTCTTGATAATGTATGCAGCCTCTTGTGCCACTATTCTTTGAAATGGGTACAAATACAGCACATATTTTCTAGTAAGTTGGCCGAGTAGCTGCCTTCCAAGTTTCTTGGCACAGGTGAGTGACTGTTTCCAGTACTTCCTCAACTTATTGAAACATTTCAATTGATAACCTGTCATTTCTTGGAATTTTGTTTTTGCCCAATGTCTTCAGGGCAGCTTGGACTTTTTCTTCCAGTACCACTGGTTCTTGATCATATGTTACCTCTTGCAATGTTTGAAAGTCTCCCGTTTCTTTTTGGTACAGTGAGTCTGTGTATTCTTTCCATTTTCTTTTGATACTTCCTGTATCAATTATTTTGCCCATATTGCAACTTGTATTTAACAACATCTCTCAACTCATGGCCGTCAAGTCAATGCTGCCTCGGAGAGGGCCTGTGGGTTGCCAAGACTGTAACTGTTTACATGAGTCGAAGGCTCCGTCTTTTTCCTGTGGAGCTGTTGGTGGTTTCAAACCACTGACCGTGCAGATTGTAGCCAATCTTGTACCCATTGCACCACCATGCCTCTATCTACATAGAAATTATTAAAAAGTAATAATACAATGGAAAAAAATAACCATAAAAGGTGAATTTAAGTTTAGTTCATCCTAAGGGGTAATGGAGTTGGTGCTAAAAAACAAAGTAATATATCAAAGTCCCTGTTTTGTAAGTTAAGATAAAATATTATTAAAGTAGAAAGAGAAAGGAAAAATCCCAAGACCAAAACGGCTGCATTTTCTCACAAGTACTCTCTGGGATAGAATAAAGACTTATCCTTATTAAATTAAGTAATCTCAGAAGGGGTTCGTTTATAAAGATTCACCATTAAAATTCAAATATTCCTGAAGTGTAATTTTAAAATGAAAATATGGATTCATCTTGAATTAATGTGTGCTACTTTCTACATAGTGTACAAGCATACGCTGCATTACAAAAGCATCTATTTCCAAGTGTTTCTTTCAGTTAAATGGTAGGCAATGGAGCAGGTGCGAATGGCTCTTTCTCAGTCTTACTTTAGGGCAAGCAAAGGATTGCGGTGTTTCTATGGTGTAGAAACTGCTCATTCAGCAAGTAAGGGGGGATTGTGATGAAGAATTTGTTGATGTGGGGGCTGGTTCAATCATTTCTTAGGCAATATGAAAGCAAATATATGTAACATTAAAGGGTAAAGAGGACTCGTCCATAAGGAACTGCTGGTATATATTACTGATTATTAGACCTGATCAGAGGAAAATTCAACTACAGTGATATCTATGCTATAGCTAAAGTCCTTTATATTTACATACAGTATAACTACAACTAGTATGCAAAATTAACCCGATAATTGTATAATCCAATCTGAACCTATGTTCAAGAAAGTCCTGTGAACAGATGTAACAATTCAAGCTATAATTTAACATGCTAGCGCTAAGAAGAAAACTCAAAAATGCTATGAAACTTTCATGTATAAGTAAATTAAGTAGAGGTACAAGACTTATGGAAAAGACACAGATGGTTGTGCTTAATAAAGGTATGAATAAACGTTTATTATGAAATCTCTCAGTAGGTAGTATTTTTTCTCAGGTCATTAAGTAGTGTTCAGTCTTGAGTTATGGGATTTTTATGGTTTAGAATAAAATTCAATTGGCAGACAATATATCATCATAACATATAAGGGACTTGCCCTCTAGTAACAATCTGAGATTACACTATCTTTGAAAAGAAAGTTTGTTATGATGCAATTACATTTGCCCCTTTACTCTATCTCCCTGCTCCAGAGATAAGCAAAATGTCTTACTAGCACTGTGTTTGTTTTTAACAGGAAACAACTAATAACAGACCAGAAACATAAGGGCAGAAGGCTCTAATAACCAGATTTCTATTAGAGCCATGTGATCCATGGTTCGTTATGAAAACCTTCAGTTATATTGAAACAATTACCAGCTTTCAAATTTAAGTTCAAATTTAAGACCTCACTGGTATTAAAGTAAGTAATTCTCTTGATACTATTTTATCCAGGACACATGAAGATTAAAATTTTGTTCACTATATGCGTAATGTTAGTCTATTTAAGAAAGCCTATGTGCATACAGTATGAGTCTACTTTTGGTAGCACTCAATAAACTGGAAAACCAAATAAGCAGAAACTAGAGAAGTTGCCAGTGCGACCAGAGAAGTGTCCAGACCATGAGGTGCTCAGCCGGGAACCCCGCATTTAAATGAAGGAAATATGCATAAAAGGCCATGAACCCTGTGCATTCTGAACAGAGAGCTGTTTGCTTTTAAAGATACTATTTTGGATACAAGTGGAACAGAACAAACCTTAAAGTCTATATTCTAATTTTTAATAGTTTCTTTAAATAGTAAAAAGAAATGTATATTTAAAATAGAGACCATAACATAGATTTATTTGAACGTATTTTAAAAATAAAAGATAGACTTGTGTAGAGTTTTTGGAAAATCATAACACTGCCCAAGTAAATTATGGGAATTAAAGTAATGGATTTTACAAAAGGATTCCATATTAATCTAGAAGGGGCCCTTGATCCTGTTATTGACCATTAAAGTACATATTAGAACAATTAACCTTCTGTTAGAAGAGTGAATTGATCTTTCAATTCAACTAAATAAGTCAACATACAAATGCCACCGTGATCATTCGCTTTCAAGATAAATTTCTCTTATCAAAAACCCATGATGTCACCCTTCCCTTCTGACTTCAATTTTGCACAAAAAATAACACCTTTCACTTGCAGGTAGGGGTGAAGACAATGTAACTACTGAAATCCCTGTTACATTATATCTGCAACCAGCAAGGAAAACAAACTGGTTCAAGAACTGATTCGTTTTTCTTCAGTCAACTCAAACTCAAGGCAACCCTATGTGTGCAAAGGGCAGAGCAGTGCGCCCCGGGGTTCTGGACCAGAAGTAGATCCCTAGGCCTTTCTTTGAGGTGCCTGTGTTGAGGTGGACTTAACCCGGTCCTCTTTGGCTTAGCAGCCTACTCTGTTAACTATGGGCCCTACCTAGGCACTAGCATTAGAACTAGTCCTGTCTTAATCATGTGTCAGCAAGTGTGTGAATTCTTACTGAGCTGTTCTGAGTCAGAATTGACTCAGTGGTAGTGAGAGCTCTCATGGAGAGGCTTTGGGATAAAGCACAGAGGGAGAACAGCAAAGGATGATGGTACATATTACTCATCTGTCTGGGGGTTTGTGGAACGCCATGACGTGGGGAAGGGAAATATGCGACTGAGTCTGGTTATGTTGAATGAAGGTAGGGAGTATCCTAAGAAAGGAAAGTCAAAGGAGTTCAGGAAGACATTGAGAGAGAGGATTATGTACTTCTGCTATGTACCAGCATTCCCTGGTTTTCTCTTAGGACTGGTCTAGCTCGTTCAATAAAAATTAATAAATTCATTTCTACAGCAACTTCTCGATACTGTGGAGGTTTTCCTCTCAGAATATTGAAAATGTAATTAGGTTGGCTACAGTAATAACTGGTTATTAGACAAAATGTTCAAAGAAAACCTTGCAATAACGGACGGTACGCATCGTTTCTGACTTACTTTATACACAGTTCCAAAGGCCCCAGAGCCAAGGACTTTCACCCTCTTGAGCTCAGTTTCTTTCAAGATCCGAAGTTGAGCTTGATTAGGTGCTGTGCCACTGGGAGTTAGGGGTTCTACCAACTGCAAAGCAAAAAGAGTCCAAGTTTAAAAAATCTTACACTCAAACACACGGTTCTCTCTCTCGCTCTCTCTCTATCTCTCTCTCTCTCTCATTCTCACAAAGGCAAAAGCACATAAATATCCCCTGTAGTGCATATGCCTTGACACACAGCCTGTTTGTTCTATGGGGCACTCAATCTCCACAGACATGAGAGAAGGTTTCAAAAAGTTTATATATTAAAAAAAATAAATTAAAAGACAATAGACTTTTTCCATGAAAATTGGAATGATATCCTCTCATACATGAAGGCATTCCTTCAGACCTTGTCCTTCCTCTCGTGGCTTTGCCTAGGTCATCGCATAGAGCTGGTGTGGCCACCTTGACTTTGATGCATACACATGAATGCAAATGAAAAGCTGCCTTCTTAGCACTTAAAAAATTAGCTGAAAGCCAGGATTTTTTTAAAGTGTAAAACTAGAGCAATGCCAAATGCAGGATAATGCTTTGCATACCTCCCTGTGCATTATGAATTATCAGAGCTCCTTATTAAAATACAGATGCTGGTTCATTAGGATCTGCAGTGTGAGTGAAATTCTGTGGTTTTACAACTTCTAGAAAGCCAAGGCTCCAGTAAGAGTTTCTGTCTCAGACACCTGATGCAGGCTGCTAGGAGTTGGGCTCATCTGACTGGCAGTGACTTTGGCAGGGGCAGAGGTAAAGACTATGTATGATAGTACCCCTTGGCCAACGTTTAAATACTAAGCACCAAAATGTCTTCTAGCTCATAAAATCTAAAATTCTGTAATTTGGCTGTAGGTCCTAAGGACATATGATGGAAATCAAAGGAATAAAGAATGATCAGGGAATAAGGTTCACTAGTTTTGGCTTCCCGAAAAAGGCACACTTTGAAATCAGCCATGAGGTAATGAACACGGATAGACATTGGGAAAATTACTGCTCTGTGAACCATAGGATGGAGGCAATATCAGAGGGAGGGAGTAAAATTGTGCTGATGGCTTGAGGTATGATACTTTAAGTGACACTCAAGTCACAGAAGATGAATGAGCAGAGGTATCATGTATGAGTGTAGCAATCATTTGCAAATGTGAGCAAAAGGAAGTGTGAGTTAAGACACTGGCTATGAGTGGCTCTCATGTTAAAGTTTTACTTTTTCCCCTATGCTGACCAAAAAAGCAAGTTGCTGAAATAGCACACAGTGTTATAATTGGTAAAGAGTTAACTCAAAGAACTGGACTTTAAACACAGACAAATGGCCTGTTCTTTCTCAGCATAAGGAAATAATCAAGGGCTACTCTTCCTCAGATTGTTTAGAACCAAGCAGTATTTCACAATGTCTATTTACTAGATGAAGTGGACTGTGGCCGTCAGCCTGGATATTATTCTCATGCTTCTGTGAACATCATAGCCTTCTGAATTAGAGGAATGGTCTTTAGTTAACCATGATGTTAGAGAGAACATGACAAAAATGATCAATTAACTCAAGCTGTTTTCTAATCATTTATCAGCAAATTCTTTTGTTTCTGTTTATAATACATATTCTAAATATATAGAGTTGATAGCATGCAACTGCATTCAAGTCACTTAAGCAAAATTTCAGAGTTACAAGACTCTGTTAAATTCATTTTTAAAAAATTTCAAATATTTATTCTATCATACATTATATCAATAACAATAAGTAGATGAAATAAATTAGTCCTTGTACAACTTAATCCTAAACAAAATTATTTTGAAAATACTCAAATTCAAAGTTAACCAAGACTATCTTATTCATTATATATATATATGTGTGTGTGTGTGTGTGTGTGTGTATGTATGTATGTATGTATGAATATCCTGGGATCCATGGCAGAGTGTATCCAACAGGTCTAGCTTTCTATCAGCCATTTAGTCTAAACAATATTCCTTTACCCTGGGATGACTAAAACATTATGCTGCATTTTAAACCATTTGTGAATGAAAATGTTCACTTCCATTCCCATTTTCTCTTGCTTTCAAAAAGCTCAATGTTTCCTTATTTTTGCAGATACAAACTAAGAAATCCCCATGAGGGTGGAGCCTGGCCTTCTCTGGTTATCCAAAGGAGAACAAACCTATCATGTATGTGCATAAACACACATCGCAAGTATAATGCATATTTTTACAAATCATCTTTTAATTACCAATAATAATCACATAAAAATAGTTGAATGGGAAAAGAATAATGATCTAGTGATACAGCATAAAGAATACAATAAAGTGTTCTTAAATTGTAAGTCTGGAAGTTTTGTTCCTGGATGTTCTATTGTATATACTTTTACCCAATAAATCATATGTAATTTTTTGATGAATATAATATTTTTCATATTTATTCCTATTTATTTCATACCTTTGAATATACCACAGAAGAAAGACGAGGCCATCTGATTAAAGAGTTACAGTCTTAGAAACTCACAGGGACAGTACTACCTTGTCCTACAGGGTCACTGTGAGTCAGCTTTGACTCCATGGAAATGAATTTAGTTTGATTTTGTTTTTGGCATCTACCATGTAGTAATTCCTCATTTGCAAGTTTCACGGTTCATCTTGGGATACTAAGATTTCTACAATTTTCTTAGATGTTAATTGGAGAAAAAATTATTAACAGTTGTTTCTTGTCATTTGAGTATTATGTCTTGAAAGTAAGCATAGTTTTAATTTGAGAACCAGTATTGTTCTAGGAGAGAGATGTGGTTTTAATTGTAAGTTCTATACCAGGGTTTCCACCATTTGCCTGTCAGTCTATGGTTCTGTGTGGCTGTGATGCTAAAAGTTATATCACTGGTTTTTCCCATACCAACAGGGTCTCCCAAGGTGGATAGGTTTCCGCCGAGCTTCTAGACTAAGACTAGACTAAGGAGAAGAAAGTGGCTGTCCACCACAGGGGAATTCATTGCTCAACATCTTAATGGATAGCATGTGAACCGTCACATACTGCAGACCTCGTGGCTGGAAGCGGAGCATAGGCAACCATAGTGCCTCAGGATGGATCCCTCAGGTCAGAAGGCACTCACAATAGGGCTGCAGAAGAGCTGCTTCACCAAAGTCAAGTCAACTCGAATGAAGTGACTGGAGGAAAGCCCTGCGGGACATTCACTCGCTGATGAGGCATGCCTCCAAAGGAGAAGAAAGGGCTGCAGAAATCTACTAATAACCAAAACTTCCAGTGTACAAAGTATGAATCTCGAAAAATTATACATCATCAAAAATGAAATACAACACATAAAGATCAATATCCTAGGGATTTATGAGCTGGAATGGACTGGCCATTTTAAATCAGAAAATCATATGGTTTCCTATGTTGGGAATGACACTATCAAGAGGAATAACTTTGCATTCATAGTCAAAAATAACATTTCAAGATTTACCGTGATAGAATTTTGCAAAGCCAACAGCTGGTTCATAGCAAGATTTTTTCAAACAAGACAAAAGGTCACTATACACATTGGGCTTCCCCCAGTGGAATACACAGAAATCAAATTGATTTCTGCTAGAAGACCAAATAGAGAACCTCAATGTCAGCAGTTCAAACCAGACCAGGGGCTGGCTGTGGATCATCAATTGGTTGTATATAAATTCAAGATAAAGCAGCAGAAAATTAAAACACATCCAAGAAGGCCAAGTATGATGTTGCGTCTATCTCACCTGAATTTGTAGAACATTTCAAGAACAGATTTGATGCATGGGACATGTAGGCTAAGAGACCTGATGAGCTGCGGGAGGACATCAAGAGCGCCATTCACGAAGAAAGCAAAGGGTCGTTCATAAGACAGGAAAGAAAGAAAAGACCAAAGTGGATGTCTCAAGAAAAAGTCTCAAATGTGCTCTTAATTTTCGAGAGACTAAGGCAAATAAAGCAAATGATGAAGTTGGAAAAGAAATTTTGAAAGGGTCGCTCAAGAAATCAAATATTAAAATTAAATGTGCAAAGACCTTGAGTTGAAAAACTGAAAAAAAGAAGACCGCATTCCACTTATCTGAAAAACTC